TGCTTTCTTGAGAACTGTGATGCGTTGGGACTCGGGGAGTGTCTCGACGCCTGGGAGGGCGATAATACTGTCCGCAGAAGCCGGAGCATTAGCATCAATTGGCGTTTTGGTTGGAAGGCCATCACGAGGCATCACGTTACCTGATATCGCCGTATGTCTTGACTGTAGCTCGTGCAACCAAATTGTCGACAAAAGATTGAGTTGGTGAGATCATTGTGCGGAGAAAGGCTTGTTGTGGTGAATGCACCAGTGGTGGGTTGTTTTCGTGAGGTTGGAGAACAGAAGAGTGAGCAAACGGCATACACTTTGCTAAGCAACCAGCGCCCCACACCGAGTGGGATCCGCAGGTCTGCACCAATCAGACCTTACAGATACCCTAGGTATCTAATTTAGCCCATAATCCCTGCTTAGGGGTTGCAGGCAGGGATTCATGTTGCGACATCTGTCCCGCTCTTACCCCCCATGGCTGTGATGCATTGCGAAGTAAAACACTGCCCAGGTCTGCCAGGGTTGTGCGACTCCTTCGAGCTTCACCTATGGCGACATTGTAGCCAATCGATAGTGCGAGGCGCCAGGATAGCCGTCCCGTTCTTACCAGCTGTTGCATAGGCATGATTCCATCGCGTCAAGATCCTATCTTTAGGGCGATTCATATATCAAGCCATGGACGGTCCGGATAGTAGCAGCTAACACGTCTCATTACTTCCAGCCACTATGTACGATTCTGATGTCTTCGCCGTGATCACGGCGCACGATCAAAAGAATAAGGCGGGTAGTGCCCTTGAACTGGAGCACAACTCGAGGTGGTTCTGCAAAGCAACTGGAGGTGTGGCATCGGAGCCCACCATAGACAGTCGTGAGACCACCCCTGCCGAAGACTCACCGTCGGACGACGAGAAGGAGGAGGAGATGGCCAGTAACGTCAACCGTCTAGTTGTGTCTTTCTCGAAGCTGCTGGCATTGGACAACCTTGAGAACGGGCTACAGCTGGGCACAAACCCGATCTTATCTCATATCCTCTTGGGGCACCGCGGAACGAAAGGAATCAGCGGTAGGCAGGTAAGTTGGACTGCTATTATGCCTGGCCTCTTACCAACTAAAGTTTAGTGTAACATTACTGTGGATAAGACTCTGAGAATCTGGCTTCACGACTACCACTCGACGCACGGCACCGCAGTCGGCCAAAACGGCTTGAACCAAAAGGAAGTGCGGAAGAAGGAGACCTGGCTCCTGGCATATCCGCCCGGCGCTCCAGACGGATTCGAAGAGACGACGATCCACTGCAGTAGCCTCGCCATCAGGACTGAGTTTCCCAACCACAGAGCAGGAACCGCTCGCTACGTCAAGAACCTGCGGGCGTTTGTGGAGAAGTGTCAGAGAGCAGCTGAGAGGAGCAAGGTTGACCCTCCTGGCGTTGAGGCACTTGGCTTGGACAGCGAGCCGTCGACCCAAGCACCTAGCGAGGCTCCAACTCCACGTGACAGGCTCGTTTACTATGTGGTCAAGAATGTTGGAGTGGGAACGTTTGGTAAAGTCATGAAGATCATCAAGGCACGAGATGGGAAGGCCTTTGCCGCCAAGATATTTAACCCTCCACCAAATCGAAACAAGAGGCTGCGCAACGACCCTGACCCGGACTGGCTCATGAAGATACGGAGAGAGTTTGCTATCATGAGAGACAACCCCCATGTCAGTTTTGCTGCGCCGCTTATTATTTTACCTACGACATACAGCTAATTACCATATAGCCGAACGTGGTTCAGGTTTTTGAGCTTCGGGAGGCCCCAGAGCCCGCCATCATCATGGATTACTATCCCCTTGGAAACATTACCGACGCCAGTATCGCTTACGACGAATACGTCACGGCTTGGGGACAGATACTCGATGGCCTCAAGCACCTCCATGCAAAAGGGGTGGTCCACCGCGATCTTAAACCCGAGAACATTTTGGTCGAGAGGAATCCGTTCTTCAAGGTCGTCATCGCTGATTTTGGTCTGGCCAAGGTTACAACCTCCACGGCTCCGCTGCAGACTTTCTGTGGCACGCTGAAGTACGCGGCGCCCGAGGTGTTTCCTGGTCTGAGTTCCGGCCACGGGCCCTTGGTGGACATCTTTTCGCTTGGCGTCATGGTCTACGAATGGATGTACCACCTTCCGAACCCCCCAAACGTCCCGGTAGCGAGAAAGAGGAACGAGAAAGTCTCTGACGATCAGTGGTACACTTGGCTTGATGAATGGGTTAGGCTACTCCTCGAAAAGTTGGAGGACGAAGAAGATGACCCGGCCATCCAGATCCTGGTTCGCATGATTGAGACCAAGGTCACTTCACGATGGTCTGCGACTAAGTGCCTGGCGCAAGGTTTCAAGAGTCGCCTGTTCAAAAGGAGGGTGGCTGATGGACTGATCGGATGCGCAAGCGACCCGGACGACTTTGACCTTCCCATTGGGGAAGGGGAGAACCTCGGGACAAAGACGCCGACTGCGGCGCCATCGCTTAGCCCAGGCTTAGGACTTACGGAATCGGCAGTCACCATCATAGATGGGGGCATGTGGGATACAGAGTCGGTGAACTCGCAATAGTATTTTTTTTCTTTCCATTCCAAACGATGAATGAATGGGCGAACCATTGTATGCGGGGTTGATTGTATCTTCTACGGTGTTTATATTGCCTCTCTCCTCACATCGTATACTGTATTCTCTTCTACCTTACCACGCACATTGGGGTTTCTGCACGAAAGTAGACATTGTGTCATAAGGGAGGATGTGTGGAAATCGATCTCCCCACAACAGCGTAAATGCCCCACTGGCCCACTGACTTCGGCGTGCAGAGACCTCTCAAAGGAAGGACGACGAGGAGGAGTAGCAGCATGTCAGTTTTGAATTCGATATCATCCCTAAATTTTATGGCTATGCAAGCCTTCTTGTTCACGTGATTCCTATTTCAGGCGTCCGCCCCCCACTGGCGGTCTTGTGGAAAATGGTTCGTGGGCGGGGGCCTTCTAGCTTTGGGTGATTTTATCTACGCTATGAACTCAGCTATCGACATATCTAGCTTCCAGTCGATAGCCATTGTTGCAGAGAAATTTTAGAAGATGTAGCCGCGTATACAAGCTGTGTAATTAGCCGAGATGCTTATATAGTACGCTTGAGACCAGAGCGCTTAATTAGAGGAACAAGCGCGTAATTTCTAAAATCTAGGTTTACAGAAACCATAGCACCGATTCCGCTATGGCGCTTTATACAGATTCAGTCTGCGCGTTTGATTCTGCATGGATGATCAGGGTCACGCAGACTGCAAAACCAGTCATCTAACTTAGTCGTTTGTGCGATTGCATTACATCCATGAGTAGACTTTGGTAATAACTACTGGCGGAGAAAGGACATATTGGGGGTGGTGTCTCTTGCGCCTTCATTACTATGCTGACTGAACTCTTGTAATTGAGAATCAGGCTGACTCAATCCTGAGAGATGGTGGCGCTTAAGATCTTGTGAAAGCCCGAAGCTCTAGGAAAGTTATGGAACGCTGAAATCCAGATCTGCCGGGATTTGATCTATGGCCGAACATAGCCATTTGAAATAATTCGGCATCCATATATCATAGATATCCTTGGCGAACTTGTATGCCGTCCATTTCTCCCTTCCATCCAGCTCTGTGAAATCTAACTTGCGTATCGGATGGCGGTAGTACTTAGTATCCTTCCCATTAATGACTGGGTAGTGTCCATAGATCCTTACTGAGCTGTGGTTATGCGAGACTGAGAAGGCGAGAATCTTCCGGTGAAGCTCCACTTCACGACCAACGAGTCGAAAGAGCTCGACGGTAGCTCCCACGGCAAGTGTCATGCGGTGGGCATTCTGTCGGTCCGCAATATCGAGCGCTGCAGCACCGCACTTCACCTCGCAGGTAAAGAAGGGGAAATACATGTAGTACGTAGCCATAAAGTACGACGATACTGCATATGAGGTAGTAAATGCTTCGCGTATGACCGTTCTGGCGATTTTCCAGCCCGTAGCATTTCACATCGACATACCTTATGCCTAGGACTCTGGTTGCACTAATTCAACATGCTCTCGGACTCTGACCACCATCTACGCAGAGATTGAATACAAAGCAGCACAGCAACAGGGCGATCAAAAAGCAAGGTCCGGAAGGCATTAGGCCACGAACTTGCCCGTCAGCCAGACCGAAACATCGCATGCTGTGGGTATGAGAGATCCCGCTGCTTGCCTGGAATACTCCCTACGCTTCACGAATGAACACCACCTTTGAACAATGGGCAATGTTCCGGTCTCCATCCTCGCTGAATTGCATGGCATAAATACCAGGTTATGCGGTGATAGTGGCGTAGCATTTCACTACCAACTTGTTGGATCATGCGAATACTAACAGTATTTTCCCCAACGAATTAATATCTAGTCTTCAGCCAAGTCGAGAGTCTGAACATGCCTGGAAGCAAAGATAAGCCATCTGCTTTAACGCCATATGACGAGTCTTCACAAGGATACCAGGACTTCTTGTGTCTATTCAGCTTACGTACATGACGCTGTTGTTCCATCTTCAGGTTACGATCTGGATGCCCACTGGCACCAGCTGTCTATACCATGCTCATTATGCATCATGCGCCGCTCGCATCTGTCAGGGTGTTCCAACAGATAGAACCTCAGCTCAGCCATTCAACCCCAGCGCCTGACCGGCAAGACCGGCAAAGTGGTGGACTTGTGGATCAACCATCTATGGCAAGCCATACGGATAAGGAAGAGGTGGCTGCCGATGCAACCTCCATCACAGCAAGCTCACATGAATGTCGAGCTGCCGAGCTGGCTAGTCATAGCCACCAGGCAGTACCACGCGCGGATGCTACTGGTGTATCACCCCAGCATCATGTCACACTCTGAAGACCCGCTGGCACTAGCTGTCTGTGCCATGCTTGTTATGCATCATGCACCGCTCACATCACAATTCAGGCAGCAGGAGGCGCTTGACAGAACGATGTCTCGCGGGTTTTCCTCCCGGTGAGCATTGGGTTGACTCGCTACACAGACGATCCGCTAGCTCCTGGTCCTTACAGCCTCCCTTAGTACGGTCGAACTGTCTCGATGACTGCCTCGTTCTCCAATCGGATATCGCCAGCTCGCTCCTAGATACGTCACCAAAGGCTTGTAACTCCTTGAGCCTGGCTGTGAGACGATGGCGGATCGCCAGTAATGCGTACCTCCGGCTTGCTTGGGGGGGTGCTCTGTCGAGCTATTCGTCAGTCTATGAGACGCTACCTAGCCGCGGCCGCGAATCCTACACTCCTTCATGGTGATGTTTTGTTCTATGGTCCCCTATCAATTCTCGTGCAAGCATCTGAGAATCTGCCTTGCGTGTTCAGTGGCAGCATTCCTCTGAGTAGTCTGAGTAGAGTAGATTAGACCAAACTTACTGTAGAGTTGGTGAGCCTACGGCCACTGTTGTTAGGGGCTTTGGAAAATGGCATAGAATCTCTGCAACTCTGCAAACTCTGCTCCGTCTATTTGAATGAATATTGGGTCTATACCAAGCTCATACGCGAAGATTACAAAGAGTATTACCAGTACCAGTCGCTGAATATGTGTATTTGATTATATGAATGGTCTTGAGGACTGTGGATGAAAGGAAAGTGTTGCCGGTGCAGGGGTCAAAGGGCTAAGCCATGGAAGGCTAGTTCTATGGGCCCGAAAATGGGACCAGTCAGCCTTTGACACCTCCCATCCCCACAAGCTGATTGGGGCCCAATTTCAGACCCTCTTCATGCTGCTCAGGGAGGACATCAGGCATGATCACGCTGGCTCATGTTGGCTCACGGCGAGCTCAGGCACAAATCAGGTACAATCACGCAGGCTCGCGTCGGCTCATGGCGAGCTCAGGTTTGCTCAGCCACCGCTCAAGCTGCTTACTCATTACTCACGTTACACCCCTGCGTAACTCACGATCAGATTCGGAAAGGACTTTGTGTGAGAGTAGATTTCACTTGATTGTTAGGCGCTATTTTCATGTCAGCTGGGGTAAAGAGCGGTTCTGTTAGCTTCCAGGGGACAGCACTGCCTCATCCCTGCATAAGCCAAAAAGCCTCGGAGCCAAGGTGGGTCCTGAAGCCGAAAGCCACAGTTCCAGGCAGCCGGATCACGCTTGTTAACTAGCCAATTGGGTAGGATCCTCTCCCTCAACTTCATCAGTTCGCCTGATGTGGACGGATCTGTGAATTATTTTACACGGTAGGAGAGCAACCATTTCCTAAGCCACTCAATCTACTTCCTTTTTCGCTGGTAACAATGATTTAGTGACCATGACAAGTTATGATCGGTCAATCAATGGGGCAAGGGGGATGTCCATCCAGGTGTCGCGTATATTATTATACTTTGCGGCGTCCACGGGCTGTTGAACAGTTTCGCCCGATTTCTTAACAGAACGCCTGGTGGCTGCTCATATCAGTTGCCTTCTTTCTTTCCATTCGATTCAATATGTTTGTTCATAGTCCATACGTTCTAACATTCGCCTTCCTGCTATTTGCACCGGCCACAGGCAGCAGCATTCTTGTTGCATGGTATACATTCACAAAACGGAGATATGTGTTACCATTGCTTGCCTCTTTCAGTTTCCTCCTAGTTGCGATATCAGCTCTACCAGTCATATGTTTGAGTTTCAGTAATGTTTCTTCTAGCATCAGGTTTGAGGCAACCGCCTTGTGGTGCGTAACGTTCGCAGCTGCACTGACAGCTGGAATCGATGTAGGCGTTCTTGAAGTGCTCTACAAGCCTAAGCTGAGGCTGACTGACTAGACGTACTTCTTCGTTTGGTCCGTACGAACCCGTATTATATCAGTGAGCAAGGCGATGTCGATTATCGCATTATTTATCCTTCTCGATCTTGCCAGCTTCATTGGCATCATTGTAGTAGTGGTCTTAGAGTAAGTGCTTTGATATGGATTTCAATATGATGGATACTCAATTAATCATAGGAAACCGGTCACACCATGTGTCCAAGCAATCTCACTTGGACTGACTATTCAAGGTTGTGTTGGCCATATCTTCCGTTTGCTGGCGGTACGCATACAGAAGGTTACAATAGATACATGCCTCTTTGGTTTTATGTCAATTCTAATTACGTTCTTCTTGGTAAAATTACAAGATGATTACCTGCGTATCGAATATAGGGACGATTATCTCCATCTCCAATATCGGGACTTTTTTGTTCTTTGGGTATGGAACTTCACTGAAATGCGTTAACATTACTAATAGTCTGACAGACATACCCTATATCCTACCATACCCTCGCATTCTATCTCATGGTGACTGCACGCGTCTTCCGTCCAAAAATCAATAAGGCACGTCAATCAGCGAAATCAAAGCCGAGCTCTTACTTTGAACCTGAAATCCCTCCTGAACCACTTGCTTCTGCGCGGAGTTTTGACAACCCCCCGACAGAGACAGAGGTGGAGGGTAGAGTACATGATAAATTGAGTGATGGATCAAACAAGCAGGATCTCGAGATGTCGCGACTATCTTCTGAGGGTTTTAAGATTACAGAGGCTCGCCGAAAAGCTGAGGGCATGAATTCTCATCAGTCTAGTCAAGAAGAGATTGGTATGTCACCATCCGATCCTGAGCTTCCCGTAAAACCACCCGCTACTGTACGAAGTTTTGACAGCTCTGCAACAGCTGTTGATGTGGTGGAGGATAAGCCAGAGGATACACTGGAGGACAGCATGATAAAGTCGGCCATCGACATAACTCAGCCATTGCCTGAAAATCTCGAGCTCTCTGAGGCTCATCAAAGGGACGGGGACATGGAGCATCCACAATGGGACTATGAAGGAGAGGAGTATCCTCAAGTCCCAAATACAAGTCGTGCTAGTTCTGTAAACGGCATGGAGGTTGGATTGCTTAATAGTGTCCAGGGTGACTATGATCAGCTAGATAGAACTATAGCACGTCTTTAGTGGTACCGACACCTAAAGGGTTAGGGTGAAGGTGTAGCTTTGTGCCCAGATCTCTTCGATACGGTGGAAAAGCATCATTGTAGAGCTGATTCGATATAAATTGAGCTGATTTGGAAATTACGCGCTTATCAGCTTCACCACGCCACACCGCTTTAGGTAGCTGCGTTGCTTCCACTATTTCCAGCATGAGCTGCAACTAAGATCGACGTGCTTACCGAATACGTAGTCTAGAAGAACCAGGAAATGTCAGAAACTGAATCATGAGGTGGTAGGTTGACATACTTATTGCTGCCTTCCGCCGGTGTTAGCATTTGTGACCCTCGAAAGTCGGAACTTGATTTAAGATGTGCGACTATACTCAAGTTAAATATAGTTGTGGTCACCTACGATACACAGTCAAAGCATGGTGTACTAGATATCAAGAAACACACAAACGCTGTCCAGCAAACGTGGTCGCAATGTAAGTACCGAAATGGTTGTGGATAAGCATGCACTTATGGGTCGTAGTGAGTATCGGCTGGATGAGAAATGCGGTAAATGAAGACAAATTAATCAACTGCAAGACACCGATCTGAACCATCTCATAGGTGATTGTAGAGATACCTCAACTATGAAAGGAGCTGGATCTTTCAAAGGGAGCGTTAGGGCAGTATACCCTTAAGTCTGGGACTTGGAGAATATTTCGTTGAAAAAGCAGAATGCCTTATTCTGGTTTCCTTGCATAACAAAAGTAAACATATTGAAATAAAGGTACTTTGCTCCTCAAAGCCTCACTTTTCACTTGTGCAGCCAAATTCTCAGCGTTCTCCTTGCTCCAACCAAGTGCAGTCGTAAAGACATGGCTCATAGCGTCAACTCCTTCAAGCAAATTCTCAAGAGCAAATACTCCAGAAATCTTGTTCTCCTTGCCTTTGGCCCACGTCCCTAGTGGCAAGATTCTTTTCTCTATATGAACGTCTTCAAATCCGGATTTTCGAAGGTCTTCCTCCCACTTTAGAGGTGCTTGCAGGTTCAAGCCGATTTCACTGCATGCTCTCATATAGTGTTTGGACCAATTAAGTATTTTCGAAGACTTGTTCCAAGATTCATGACAAAGATAGGGAAAGCAAAATTCCTGAAGTTCGATATAGCCACCTGGCTTGAGGTGCCTGGAGATGTGAGTGAACTTATGATTAAAATGTGATTAGAGCTTACCGCATAGCTTGTTCAAAAACTCCATGCCAATTTCTTATGCTGGTAGCCATATCTCGCAGATGAACGAAGTCGAGTTGTCCTCTTTGCATCCAGTCCTTCTCAATATCGTTGAGATAGAAACTACAGTTGGGAGGGACGAATTTCGGTTGTACCGGTGAGATATCTAAGCCTACAACGCATGCGCTTTCGTGTTGATCCGCAAAGTCTATTGCCCACTGGAGATAGTTAGTCTCTCCACGCAAAGATATTAGACAGACAGACATACGATTCCTGTTCCGGTGCCAAGGTCAAGGACGCTTTGGACGTCCTGAGGCAGTGGCGCGATATACAGTTTTCTGCTTCCAATGTGAAGAAACAGTTCATGCTGCAAATCCAACCGATTTAACTCTTGCTCATCATTTGGTAGCAGGTATTTCACATCCGGATATGCCTAGATGCTGTTAGCTTCAGGAGCAGGAGGCGTTCATTGATCGAGCATTCAGACATGATAGGTTCTCCCATCTTCAAGACGGTAATCAAGGAGTGAGGGAGATAAAGAACATGAATCTCTGAATAGCAGTTAATACGCGATTTTGCTGGCATAGGAATCTACTACCCTGAATTCGACCATGAATCTATCGCAGAGTCACTTTCGTCGTCGTGAAAGGCCATTGTGGAGCATGTCAAGAGGAAGAAGGAAAGAAGTTGAAGGAGAAATATCAGCTTCAGATAGACATGGGCCAAAGCTTCCATTTCTCGGAGCTTTGGCGCAATTGAAATAGAATTAGCAACAAAAATTCATGTCCACTGCTAATGCAGAACATTGGAGGCTAGAGATATCGCCGAGAGTTTTGACAAGGATGAAGGTGCTGGGGTGTTGCGGTGGCACTACGCGACGTAGCGCAATCGGCTCTCGTTCCCCGCCCCCACGACGGGCATTTAAGTACAATTCAACTTCAGCATCACCGCATTAACACCTACAACCATGGACAACTTCTATCAGCTTTTGGAGCTCATTGAGCAACTGAAGATTATCAAACGTAGCGGATGGAAGCTCCGTGGAATTCACGAGCCCGAGAGCGTTGCAGACCACACATTCCGGGTAGCACTTATCTGCCTCATTGCCACTGCAGTAAGTGGTATGCTCTCAATCAATGTTCCATCGTTAATCAAGAACAGTTAGACGACGAGAAGCGAAAAAGAGCTGTTTACATGGCCCTAATCCACGACATGGGCGAGGCCATAATTGGGGACATCACTCCTTCAGACGGAATTAGTCCTGGCAAGAAATAATATTGAACCGATCAGTCGCTTCCGTGAGCTGACATCTGAGCAGAACAGAAGTATATTAGAGAAGAGATGGCGATCAAATTTCAGGCGTGCACAATTCGCAAGACACATCCGGACTTTGCTGATATGATGTTGGGACTTTGGCATGAATATGAAGAAGGCAAGACCGACGTTGCCATATTCGTCCGGCAAGCAGATAAAGTTGAAGCTGCTGTACAAGGCGTCATTTACGAAGAGCGAACGGGAATCGACATGCGTGATTTCATGAAGCCGAAGGTTGAAATCAACGTGCCAGAACTTAAGGATTTGATGCAGACCTGCCAGGCCAAGCGAACAGAGCTGCAATCAAGGCGGGAAATGAGTAATAAGATAAAGATCATTTTTGTCTCTGGTAAGCCCTGTAACTCGATTTCTAGGAGAAGACTGACGTTTTAAAGGTGCCCCTGGTATCGGAAAAGGAACACAGTGCAAGATGCTGGCCAAAGACCTTGGTTTCTGCCACCTGTCAGCGGGCGACTTACTGCGCAATGAAGCAAACGATCCAGAGTCTCCTTACGCTGATTTTATAAATGAAAGCATGAGAAAGTCTGTGTTGATTCCACCGCAACTTACTACTCAGCTCTTGAAACGAGAGATTACTCGGGCGCTGGACGAAGGAAAAGAGAGATTCCTGCTTGATGGATTTCCTAGGAGTTTGGACCAATTGCATGATTTTGAGCTTAAGGTTTACTACAACACCCTCTCTCTATAGTTGGATATATCTAACCTGTGTTTAGATTTGCGATCATTACTCTACGCTATCATTTGAATGCAAAGATGATATTGAGATTCTGCAACAACGTCTAATCGAGCGTGCAAAATCGTCTGGACGGGTTGATGATAATCCTGAATCGATACAGCGGAGACTGAAAACCTTTGAAGAGAACAACAAACCGGTCTTGGAATACCTCCGCACTCATGGACATGGAGTATTTCGACCTGTAAGAGATTTTTTTGAAACTAAGCTCATGTCGCTAATATTTTGATAGATCGATTGCAGTGGTACGATCTCTGACGTCTACAATTCTGTGCGCTCTGAGGTCGAATCGATTATTAGATACCAATAATCGCATTGGTCAAAAGTGAAAACTCCAAACTTCTGGTCTTATTAGTGGGACACTAGATTATTAAAATCGCACTCGTTTTGATTAAGACCATTTTTTGCTACTGATGCCTTACCATTTCCACCTGGTCAATAATTAGTAAACAGTGCCAAGACTATCGACCCCCCCACGCTCGGCGTTTCTGCAAGATCCTTGCATGCGCTATGATTCCCCACGCTCGGTATTTCTGCAACACCCCTGCTTGTCTTATGCACGATCCTCAGACGAGGCTTATATGGAGTCAGACGAATGCTCTATCACAGCGCCACGGACATCCTCAGCGTTGAGGTCGTGACCCTTGCAAGAACTAGAGTACAGATGTCAATCCGAAGGAGGAAAATATACTCTCGCTAACAGGTGCACCAACCGTAGCCTGATATTTGTTTTTCGACTGGTCGTTTTTACTCAGAGCCATATCCGTGCGTGCGTTCTCGGATGATCGTAGGTTAGGAAGGAACTGTTTGGGATTATATACATCCATACAGACGGGGCAATAGCTGCTGACCGGCTAACACGATGTGCATCTGTACCTCTGCTCTATTGCCCGGATCTTTTTGCAATGCAAACCAATAATTCCTTCCCCCCTTCGCCCACTGTTTGCCATTCCGGCACTCCACCAGAATCTTCTACTTCTACTGTGGAGGTAACTTTCAGGGTATTCTCTCAATCATTCATTATCTAACCGACTTATTCCAGTTGAAGCTCTACTCCATTCTCGAAGCTTGGCTAGTTTATAGACAATCAGAGAAGCGCAAGATATGTCAGGCACCCGGCGGAACCGAGCTTGTACAGGCGCTGAAGATTTTCCTTGAGTTGAACTTAAGGGATACTAAACTCTCCGAAGGGTAATGTCTCTGCATTTGGAATTGCCGTTTCTGCTCATCAGTAAATCGTTAGGAAAGCCAAAAATCAGACTTCACAGTTACGCAAAGTACAGCGATTTACGAGAACGAAGCATGACTCAAGTACGAAAATTGCGCCTCGAAACCGCGGTAGAAACAGGAGAGATACGAAGTTTATACTTGGTGGCTCTCCGGAGAGTGATACGAATCAGCTTGAGGAACACAACAATGACAAGGAGAGGATCGAAGATGTTGACACGAGAGAGGGGATAGCTGAACGAGGGAGGCTATCCACGGACATCGATACGATTTTAACGACCAAGCTAAATGGAACTCCAGGCACCTCCAAATGCCAACAAACCAGGCATCGGAGCGAAGAACCCAATGTCTCCGAGGAGCACAGTCGAGGATGTCACAGCTATACCGATGCTGACAGTGACGGCAGCCTCCGCATTTCGGAGAAAGGCATAGACGACGAAAACGAAGACGAGTGGGAAGATGATGATGGCTCTTTCCAGCGTATCGACTCTAAATTGGAGACTATTACGCAAACATCCCTTATCACCACACTATTCGGAAACCCGTCGAGTTGTAGTATTCAAGAGATTGAGCCGAGTTCTGCTCCTCGTCCAATACCGACCTCCTCCTCGTTCATAGTTCAGCCGCCGATACTCTCGCCACGTACTGCTCGCCGCAACATGTTCTCTAAAGAGTTGCCTCAATCATTACGGAAACAACTGATTAGGGACCGCCAGATCAACAAGACAACCATCTTCGGAATATTCGAACCATCGACTCTACTTCTAAACAAGCCCCGGACACGCAAAATAGCCCCGTCTCATAATAGGTATTTTGATGCTGGACTTCTTGATTATCATGAGAGAGGATGGTAGACAACGTTCCCATACTCAACGTAGAATATAATATAACATATCACTATTCTTTCCTTCTAGCTTTGCATCCGGTGTATGTATCAAAGTAAAAACAACGGCATACATGTTTCTCAGCTTAGTAGAAATCACTTACAACACAGCTTTTCATAGTGGTGAATAACAATGAGCTGATGGTGAAAGTAACGCTATTCGGGTTTCCATCTGTATACAGAACTGAGGCTTTCCGACCGATCTTACCTCCAGTTCCTGCCAAATTATTTAGCATTAAGGATTGATCGGTTGGGTTGCATTGACTTACTCATCATCTGCACATATAACTGAATTGATTTCATTGTGGAAAGAAAGAGTTCGTCATTGCCAACCATTGCCATTCTTACCGGATCGTCCCAATCTAACTCGAGCGGTATCTGTCCTATAGCGCAGTGATAGTGCCACAGGATTGAATTGCAGGATAACACAGTTTCCCCAATGAGAGTTGCTGGTTTGGATGGATGGTTCCAGAATCTAGCCTTTCCAAGGGTATTAGCTTCGCGGTGCAAATTGTGTAGTGGTGAGGCAGTCATACAGTATCATGATATCTGTTCCAATGAAGTATTCTCCCACCGTCAAGCTCTCGGACATGTAGAACATGGAAAGTGGCCAAAGTAGCAGGAGCCCATACTCGATTGTCCTTGATAAGAAACAGTTTCTGGAGATTTTTTAAGACACGCTCATCCACTTGAATCATATGCAGCTCAAGGCGATGGTCTAGCTGTTTTTGGACCCTTTCAGGTGGGGGAACGGCGCCATACCATGCGGAATTCCTGTCTGTGATGACAGGCATAGCCATTCCGAGAGGGTTCTGCCCCTTAAACCGCCAACCCCGTTGAAGCAGTCGGAGCGTAGTGTATAACTCCATACAATCATATATGAGTGGATTCTATTCAGTGCTGATTAGGTCATGTACAGACATTGTACACCAAGTATTTACCTACATAAGCATAATTTTCACAAGAGAGCCGAAAGAGTTCTGAGGCGTCATCTTGTCGCTGAATTGCTTCGGCAACTGCGTAAGGAATGCAGTTTTTGACATATGCAGAAATGTCAACGGCGGGGTTGGAGAGGCAGAATGCGTGAGTCCTTTGTAATTGCCAGCCATCTGAACTCTTTTCAAGCACGTAGACTTGATCGTCATCGGCTGGGACGAATTCCTGGCAGGCCACGTTTAGGTATGGGCCCCCAGAATAGTGCTGTAACTCCGCTTGTACTGCGTCTTGAGACTCGAAAGACTTGACAGTCGTGGAAAGGAGCTCATAGATCTTGTCTTTCCCTTTGAATTAGTTAGCAATTTCAACACTATACTTTTAGCTTAGCGGATATCATACATTTTTCGAAGGGTTTATGCGCGGTCATACGCTCCTGGTTGCAAATATAATTTGGTATTTCCAATTTTATGCACGGGCGGCAGATCGATTTACCCTCTTTTCTACACTGTAGGGAAGTTAGGACGTCTTCAGTCATGGCCTCTTGGGCCAGCCAGACAAACATACGGCAACTTTCCTCACCCAACACATTGTGCATGCTGCAGACTTCGATACTGAACGACTCTGCAAACTCAACTGTTCAGCAGCAACGAACCGGATGCCTAACACTGCTAGTCTACGGTGAAGGTCCAATTCAGGCGCCTTTGGTACGTCATATTTGGAAGAACGATGAGTTTGTGCTCCGCGACCTGGGACATCTCGCGAATGAGTAAAAGATTGATGTTCTGCCGATTGAGGCATTGTGCAAGAGGTGACCTCAACTGTAGGCAAGGTTGATTTGTCTCCCGCAATGAGGCTATGACGGTGGTAAGTTTCAAGGGGCGTCAGAAACTCGAAACGACGTGTCGCACTGTGGCACTAGCGATGCTAGGCAGTGCTGAGGACTGCTGTGC